TCATTACTTCACTATCTATCATCCTTAGTAATACTATTATCAGGTTGATATGAAGCTTGAGAATAATGAATGAAAATGGTGAAAATTCATTTTTGGAAAACGTATATTTGGCAAACGTCACCATCACGAAATAGCGTACACTAACAAACTTGATGGAAATCGATTCGCAATGCAAATAATCAAAATATAATAGAATCAAATCTTCTACTTTTTCAACAGAAGAAAGGGCATTGTTTACATATCATAACATTAGTTTATCATATCAGTTTTTCTTTTTTCTCTTCCCTCAACTATGACATAACCTTTCTTCTCATTTCTCATAAAAATGCTTCATTTTAATCATTAATTTAGAAAGTATGGCATATTACAAAATGCAGTATTTGTAAAATTCAATATTTCTATTCGTTATATATTACAAAATTCAGTATTTGTAAAATTCAATATTTCTATTCGTTATATATTACAAAATTCGGTATTCTCATATTTGTCCAAAATGTTGCATTACCATTAGATGTACAGGACACTTCAGAAGTATTCTGCATATCTGATGGCAATACAAGATTTTACCTTAGAAGTGTATTTCAGAAGTATCCTGTACATCTGATACCAATGCAACATTTTGGACAAAGAGTATAGCAAAGTTTCAAAGTAACAAAAAAAGCCGATCTTCTTCATGTTTGCAAAGATCAAGCTATTTAAATCAATGATAACCTGATAAGAAAACAAGAAATAGATTCTGCTGAATATCTATTAATGATCATACGTTATCCAGAATATCCATGATTACTGACCTTTATACTTTGACAAACAGAAACTATACGATGTATTATTGTAAACCCAAACAAACCGATAAATGGAAATTCAAAAGTAAGTAAAAAACAAAGTAGATTCAACGGAATATGTATTGATCATCTAATGTCATCATTTCCGTTCAGAATATCCATGAATTGACCTTTACATCTAATAGCCAGAAAGCATGATGCATTGATTGTAAGCTTAGATGAATTGATAATTGGAAATTTAAAAGTAAATGAAAAACAAATTACTGTTACAGTAATGTTACTTTTAACTTACATACTTTCCTTACACGGTTTATACTACTCATAATTCTAGACATAACCAAGAATGAAAGATGTATCATTAATCCGATAAAGTG